CCCCGGGGCAGTGGCGGCTTTGCACCCTGGTATTGCCTGCAGGTGCTGCCCCCACCGCTCTCATTGGCTGTGGTTCGTGGTGAATGGGAGCGCAGGGACAGTGCCTGTGGAAAAGGACAGCACACAGAGCTTCCCCGATTGCCACAAGCCAGTGCTCCCAAATCCAGCCTAATAGTGGAGGAACCAGGGCGCAGGGCTTCCAGCCCACGGCACAAAGACTTCCTCAGGCCGGATGACGTTAAGCAGGGAGCTGGTTCCCATCCCAAAGAACTTAAGCCCTTGCATGAATCCCATTGAAGTCCGGGGGAAAAGCACACGCTATAGCATTTTGCTGACTATGAAGTTTGGATGATTCATGGTCGGGCATGGAGAATTGGGCACAGATTATCTGTCGCGTAGGCATGTTTTAGTTCTCTTTGTACTTTGTGCTACATCTCTATTAATGACTCTGAGGGTTCATGTAAAGATGTGCTAACTCTGCCCAAGCTAACACACTAAAAGTAGCAGTATGGCCTATGCATCATGGGTTAGCCACCCAAGAACGTACCCTGGGGATCCGCGAGCCTGAATTTGGGAGGCTAGCCCCCATTGCTGTCTGTGCTTGCAGTGGCCATGCTGCAATTTTTAGCTCAGTAGCTCCATCAGACTGAGTGCATTTATGCCTACCCCAGCTATGGACATGTTCCCAGCTGCAGTGTAGACATACCCTGAGGGTTAAGAGGCTCAAGCAGTGTAATCAGATCCTAGTGGATAGGTATAGGCCTCAATGACTTTTTCCTTTTCAGTTAAGATGCGTCTACACTGCACCGTTATTTTGAGATAACAAAGTGAGTGTCTACACAGCCTTTCGAAATAAGACAGCTTATTCTGAAATCTGTAAGTTTCATTCTATGAGGAATAACGCCTATTCCGAAATACCTATTTCAAAATAGGAGTGTGTAGATGCTCCACCTCTGCTATTCCGAAATAGCCTCTTACCAGGGCCATTCTAAGTTATTCCTCACCAGTACCTCGTGGGGCTCTAAATCGAGATAGCACATCCACATTAGAGAAGCCTGCCTTGGACTCATTTTGAGACTTCCCTGCAGTGTAGACATGCTATTTTGAAATTCAGAATAACAGTGTAGACACACCCTCAGAGAGGACAATGTCCTTTGAAAATGATTTGGATGGCTTTTTTTAGCCATATTATACCTGCTTACCTCCTTCCAGCAAACTGAAACTTCTCCCAAGACTTTAGCCTCACTCTTGGTTATCTGAACACGCAGTTAGCTTGGTCAGGTGAGGGTGTGGCAATGCATTATTGTGGTAGGTCACTCGTGCTAAGTGAGATTTGATAGGCAAAGCCAGGAGCCCTTTTGTTAGCAGGACATATCCTACCAGCAGGGTTTGATTTTTCCCAAATACAATTTTAAAAGATACCTTGCTTGGGCATTTTCAGCTAAGAGCACTGTTACCTGTTTTGCACCCTTGGTGCACCACAAGGACACATTTTCATGGGCTGTTACTCTAAATGCGGAT